TTTCGCAGAAAATGAGATATATAGGCTCAAAGTGGACGATCCGGGTGTCGTTCTATTAGAGGTTTTACGGTAGTCATGGTACCCGCGTACATACACGCTTGAAGAGCACATATACGCTTGAAGAGCACAATTTGAAATGAAAAAAAAGAAGAGTGAGAAGAATTTGGAAAAGTGGTGAAGATAAAAATGGCAACAAACGTCGACAGATTTTTAAGCATACATATTGTTACAGTAATCCGCTAAACTACTGTAGTTGTACTATGAGCTCAATTATCTCGGTTCCTATGAGAAATATCAAAATTTTATCAACTGATAAAATGTTTATCATACTATCGCAAATATTTCATCAGTTGAATAATTTTTAACATATTTTATGGAGACCGAGATAATTGGGGCTCAATGTGTAAGGAGGGCTTTTATTAGACCGAATATGGTTTTTTTTTATTCTACTGGAAAAACTCAGTTGGGAACCCCATTTTTGAAAGATCCATAAAAAGACTTACTTTGAAAATAGTACTGGTTGATGACGATTAATAACAGCTGTGTCGACGAGCAGCTCAGTCGCTGTGATTCGAAACTTTCTGAAAAAATTATCATAATTGAGTGGGAGTGGGACAAAAACAAAGAAAAAGTAGAACAAGCAAGAATATAAAGAAATCATTCGGGTTGTATAGCATCCCGTAGAAAATAGAAACATCGAGAAAAAACGGCTATTATGATCGGTAACTTTATTGAAAGAGAGAGAGAGAGAGAGAGAGAGAGAGAGAAAAGTAAGATTTCTGTGCGTTGTCCATTCAAAACATGCGCGGGTTTCGCGTTGTTGAGTCGCTACTCAGCGAAAAGCCGCGAAGCGTGACCGCGACGCGCGACCGCGCGCACAAACTTGGCTTAGTGCCAGATTCCGAATCTAGGTCTTGTGTGCCACGCATATTCTTGAAAGGTCGATACTGGAGAATCTGGTTGGAGGCTTAGAGAAAGAGAATAAAAAGCGTGGGTGTTTTGAATGATCAGAGAACATAATATGAGTCATCCAGGCATTAAGAATTGCGAAATAGCATAAACATTGAAAAGTAACTCAAAAAAAGTAGAATTTGAAAGAAGAAGAAAAACCAATAAATCAGTTAATCACATTCTTCCTCAATTGATCGAATCTATATGATGGCGGTCCATTTAATCCTCCGTCCAGTCCGACCAGGTAGAACAAAAACGCTCTCTGGATGAGAATTTTTCCCTCTTGCCCTTGACAACTCAGAAGCGGCTGGAGAATTGTGTCCCGCAGGACTCGATCGTTCTCATCAAATTCTTCGGGGTACTCCATGGCTTGAGCTGTCTGCAGTTTCTGAAAGTTAATCATTTTTATAATAAGCCAGCTAGCTGGTGCACCTTTGGCTCTATTTAATCTAGTTTCTTTACGGGTTGGTTGCTCCGCTCCTCACTTTTTCTATAAGGATCAAGTAAATCTATATTTTCAAGTTTTTTTCAAGTTTTTTTGAAAAACTTGAAAAATTAAAAAAAAAACTGACAGGACCTTTTAGGAAAGAGTGAGTAGCGAAGCGACAAACCAGCTAAAGAAAAATTGGTCAAGTTGCGCCGAATGCCCACCAGCCAGCTGTTTGAAGCGGTATAGGCACGGCACACAGGCTGGTGATACTACACAGGTTGTTATTTTGAAAAATGAATTTACCTCTTCTTCGAACCGCATGTGGTCTGGGATAAGCGGGAAATGCGGAAGCTCCTGTAACATTTAGATGTTTTAGTTTTTCAAAATTTTCCGAAAGTTACCTCAGGCTCCCTATCTCCTCGACGGTATGCCTCAAATTCGATTTTGTCTTTCATCTCCAACTCTTCAATCCAATCTTTGGTTTCTTGAGAAGCTTCTTGTTCTTCTGCTTCTCTGAAAATTATTCAGTTTTCGATTTTGAATTAGAAGTTTGAAGGGGGGGACCTTGAGTGCAATTATCTCAGTTCCTTCAAAAGGTGTCAAAAAGCTGTCAACTGACAAATTATTGATCATAATATTACCAATATTTCATCAGTTGACAAATTTTTGATATCTCTCACAAGAGCCGAGATAATTGTGCTCAAGCTTCATGGGCTTCTATTAGAGCTCGTCCCACAAGTTCAACTCCTCGAAAGGCTTATATGTCCAAATTTTGTGACAGTTTTTAATGCCCCCCCCCCCGCTTTTAAAGCTTAAATAATACTTACATCTGTCCCGACAGCTCATCCTCTCCTTCCTTGTAAATTCGATACCACAGCAAATGGCTGTAGCACCTCCACATCTCCTCTTCTCTTTGGACGGGAGATTTGCCTTTCTTCTTTTCCAAGGTCTTATACATGTTCGTTTTGGCGTCCCGCCATGTGCGTCTCATCCTCTCCACTGAAAATATAAAAATACTACATTAAACAATATCTGCACAACTCACCTGAATACTCCTGACCAGTTTTTTCGTAGAGCTTGACACCCACTTTCTCCCATTCAGAAGCCGGTGCCGGAGTTGTCCGAGTTCTCCACACTGACGGCGTCCTACGGATACAATCGAAGAGGATCGTCCTATGACTTCTGTCTAGAAACTCTTCTTTTTTATTCTTTCGCACCTTCCTCGTCTCCTCCAGCTTCTCCTGGTACTCCTTCAAAGTCTTCCGGGGTACATTCCTGATATCTTCTCGTTGAATCGGGTCCTTAACAAATCCTGGAGCACTTCGGAGCTGGTTGTGGTTCATCCTGACGGACATCTCGATCATTCGACCTGTTAGGGCACTGTCCGCGAATCTTTTCTTCATGTCACCGGAAACCGTGGATCCGGTTTGTGCCATAGCGTAGATTTCGTTGAACATTTGGTCGTCCACCAACTTGGGATGCTTTTTGAGGAATCGGCGAAATCGGAGGGTTATGTAATCGGCGCGGTCTCGGTCTTCTTCGTGATCATCTTGAGCATCGCAAATCGGAGCAGTTGGATGACGAGATGAAGAGGGAGCAGCAATGTAATCCAGATCTTGGGCATCGTCTTCATCTTCTTCTCCTTCTTCTGAATCCCTTGAAGTGCCTTCATGGTGAAATGGAGTTTGGGCGTGACGACGAGTGGAAGAGCATGACGGATGTGGAACCTTGTCCATTGATCCGAAGAACGAATCTCCATGTGCTCGAGAGGTGCCAGCTGGTCTTGAAGACGTTGTTGGCGCATCGTAGTCAGTTTCAAAGTCGAAATCATTGTCTTCTTGATGATCCTGACGTGGAGCACAGGATCGAGACATGTCAGCTGGTATAAAAGATGTGGATGGCTCTCGAAACCCAATTTCGAAGTCATACTCATCTTCATCGTATTCGACGTTGTCTTGCGAGTCTCCTTCATATTCTTGATGAGCTGGGGATGAAGAAGCAGGTGAAGAAGCAGAAGAGAGGACGTCGGCTTGATGGTCCAACTCGACTTCCTCGTTTTGTTGGTGAGCTTGAGGATCATGACCAGCAAGATCACTGAAACAATACAATACTTTTTTCTGTTTTCTAAAAATGCAAATTGCTGACAAATTTTGGTACCTATGGATCATAGATTTTGCACCCCCCCCCCCCCCATCTTTGTACCCCCAAATCGTTGTACCCCTTGAATGTTTTGTCTTTAAAAGTCTCACCTTGTATCCGAAGTTTCTTCTGGATCCTTATCAACTCGCTCTTCGATCCTCTCAAAATCATAGTCTGTATTGAACTCGAAGTCTTGTTCAGGGACGTCGTCTTCTCCATCTTCTTGATGGACTGGAGATGATGAAGCTGGTAGAGCAGGACCCGAAACGCTGTCGTCCTGCTGGTGGCCCATTGGAGCAAATCCAGCAAGATCACTGAAATGATACAATTGTAGAAATTCACTTCAACCTTTTTTATCTCACCTTGTCTCCATGATTTCTTCTGGATCCTTATCAATTCGTGTAGTATCCTGCTCTTCGGACCTCTCGGAATCATAGTCTGGGTTGTACTCGAATTCTTGTTCAGGGACATCTTGTAAGGTGTCTCCGCCATCTTCGTGATGATCTGGAGATGACGAAGCTGGTGGAGCAGAACGAGCGGGAGATGCGAGCCCAGCAAATTCACTAGAATAATACAATTTTCGAAATCAACTCACTTTCTTAAATCTCACCTGGTATCTCTGCCTTCTTCTGGATCTTCCTCTTCCATCCTCGCAATCCCTTCAGCATTTCGAACATCTCGTTGAAGATCCGGAGCAACGTCTGGGATGGAATCACTTCTAAAAATTGGAAATTTAGTTGATATTCTTTTAAATATTCACACTTACGATTCTTCTTCATCCTCGAATCTGATATCATCCTCCTCTTCAATTTTCTTGATCAGCTCTTCATCAACATCCGAGGCGTCCCCGAGAAATTTCACTCTGAGCTCAATTTCATATTCATGAAAGAGCTCTCGGGCGAATTTTAGGTAAGCATACGACGGTAGAGTTTCCATCAGGTACATTTCCGTTTCAACAGAATTCAATTTCAGCTCTTCTATTGATATTCTCAGCATCTCCCTGAGCTGCTTTCTTCCTTGAATCCATACTTCCAGGCAAGACTTCCCTGAAATCTAATTTCATTGAATTCCCATGCATATTCTATTAATAGCTTACCAGAAATGAGCTTTTGAGTTCTCCAGTAAAGAAGTCTCGAAACATCGTTGAAATCGCTTCTGCTCACACGGCCCTTTTTCTTCCATGCTTCTCTCGTTCCCATTAGGTAGTAGATGGTGTTACGGGTCTGCAGGTCTTCTGGTCCCCATCCAATGGGCTTGAATCTCGATTCATCAATGTTCAGATATTGATCCAAGGGTCGGTGAAGATCCTTCTTTCCTCCGGCAGGGAACGGGTCGAGGACACCGTTTGCCTTCCACAAACAGGAATCAGTTCCTGGCGGTGGTCTGACAAAACCATCAGGAGTTGGATACTTGGATGTTCTGGAGCGTGGTACGCGAGCATCAGGAGCTGGATCTTGAACAGCCCTCGACGGCCTGGCGGGTGGCTTACGTGCTTCAGGAGCTGGATCTTCCAAAGCTTTGAATGTCCTGGAGGGTCGCTTACGTGCCGGAATTTCACATTGGTCTTTTTGAGTTCGCTTCGGCATTTTCTTTGGGTTAGAATAACTGAAAATTTGTATTAAGTATCCTATGTTTTACGAGTTTGAAGGAAGAGAGAAAGAGAGAGAAAGAGAAAGAGAGAGAGAGAGAGAGAGAGAGAGAGAGAGAGAGAGAGATATGCATTGCCTATTCAAAACATGCGCACACAGCCGTTGTTGAGTCGCTACGCAGCGAAATACCGCGACGCGCGACCACGCGCCCAAACTTGGCCCGGTGCCAGATTTGGTATCGAGGTGTTGTGTGTCGCGCATATTGGAGGCTCAGAGAAAGAGAGAGAAAAGCGTGGGTGTTCTGAATGATCAGAGACCAGGAATTGCGAAATAGCAAAAAACATTGGACAGTAACAGAGAGAGGGGGAAGGGGAGAGCAAAATGTGGACATGAAATTGAATTCAAGGTACGATAGTTTCTTAACACTGAGCAATGTTTTTTCTACTCCTTTTGCTGAGCGTTTCCTTTTAAAAAAACAGTAAAGTAACACCTCACATCAATCGATAGTAGAAGAAAAAAGACCTGCATCCAAATGATATGTAAAGTGTGCGAACTCTTTTTTGGGGTATCTCGAAAGAGATGTAGAAGAGTTATCGGTGCAATAAAATATTGATGGGAGCCCATTTTCGGCATTATGCACAGGACAGAATTGGAGAAAAGGTGTTTTCTATATAACTTTAGAAACTTCTAGGTTATCAGAGCCAGATTTTAGATGCAGAAGGTCAAAACAGTAAAGTAACACCTCACATTTGTTTTCAACTTTGAGCCAACTTTTCTCAGTTCCTGTCAAAGATATAAAAACGATTTTAACTAATAAATTGTTTATTATCATATCAGAAGCGTTTTATCAGTTTACACATTTTCGATATCTCTTACAGGAACCAAGATAAATTAACTCAAAGTTAGAAGCCCTTCCATTATAGGCTTAAGGGGGCCCAGTATCCAAGGGTACATCGAAAAAGGGTACATCGAGTTCTTAGGGTACATTGGTTCCAAGGGTACATTGGTTTGTTCGGTACATTTAGGTGGACAAAAAAAAGTAAATCAATATTTTTATACATACTATTTTGCTTTCTGCTCAAAATTATAGGCTTAGGCTAAAACGTCTTACAGTCTAAGATCCCATGTACCCTCAGAACCAATGTACCCTAAAAACTCGATGTACCCTCGATGTACCCTTTTTCAATGTACCCTTGGATCGTGGGCCGCTTAAGGGTCATCCCTGACTTATACCTTTGAGCCAATTTTTCTCTGTTCCTATGAAAGACATCAAAAAATTGTCAACTGACAACATATTTTTTATATTATGGTCAATATTTTATCAATCAATCACTTTTTGATATCTTTCCCAGGAAATTAGATAATTGAGCTCAAAGTTGACAGCTCTAAAAATCTAAAAGGAAGAGAATTAGACGAGAGAAAAATAGAAATGTGTGTGTTAAACTTTCTCAGTTTTCTGCCATCTTTCTCCTACTTCTTTGTCTACATAAACCTTCTTTTTTTGCGCAGAGGGATAAGGAGTGGTGCTGAAATTTAATCCTTTTTCCCTTATCAGAACATGAACGGGAACTAGAAACAGAATGCAAGGAGCAGCAATCGGAGAAAACCAAAAAGGACAAATCAAGACACACCTGATCCATTTTTAATCAGGTCTTGGTGGAATCAGCCGGTTAGCAGGTGGGTTTGGAGCACGAAGGTGGAGAGCATGTGCTCTTTTTTTTAATGAAGGGAAGAGCAAGGAGTTCTTATGTTCCTTGACCAATACGACATGTGTATTCTAATAGATCTTATGTTAATAATCTCCACTAACACAGAAGGGAAGATTATTCTAATGACTGGATCTTGTTGGCCAGGTTCTGGTCGAAACTTGCCCAAAAACGGCTGTAAAGCGGACCATGGTTAGATTTTGGGTTTTAACAAGTAAGCCCACCCTATACTTGCCCATCGAGCTCGATTATTTAGGTTTTTTCAAAAGATATCAAAAATTTGTTAATTGATAAAACATTGATGATATTATGATAAACATTTAGCAGTTGACAAATTTTTGAAATCTCATAGGAAACGAGATAATTGGGCTCAAAGTGCACGCATAGGGTGGGCTTCTACTGTATGGAACGATTAAACGGTCACTGTCCGTTTTGCCTTTTGCACAAAAACAGATTAGCTTGGCAATGGCTACTATCCACCTGGTCATGGCCCTATTATAATTGGGGTCATCAAACCGAAAAGGAACATGATAGGCCGAGGCGATCAAGACATTACACGGATAACACAAGAAACAAAGGAGGTGCTAAAGAGAGAGTATGTTATGAGAAGAGAGAGAGTGAGAGGATTACTACAGAAGAACGAGGGAAAAGAACACGAAAGGGCAGAAAGATTAGCTCCGAAGGAAGATGGTCAAGAATCTATGAGAGAAACTACGGTACCCTGTACGTCTCAATTATCTCGGTTCCTAGAAAAGATATCAAAAAATCTGTCAACTGATGAAATATAGGTGGTATTATAAGAAAAATTTTTTCAGTTGAACGTTTTTCTATAGCTTTTCAAGGAAGAGATAATTGAGGTCAAAGTTTAATGTATTTTTTTTAGAATAGCTGTAAAAATTCAAAGGGATTTTGTTGAAAAAATACTCAATCAAACCGAAAGTTTTAAAGCTAGAAATTGAAGAACGATTTCAATTTTTTCGTCACAATTGAAAGAAATTCTCTATGACGAAAAGCTAAGAAAGTCAGAAAAATCATTAAAAACTACTTTGAATTTCTCAAAAAAAAAAACCATTTGGCATGCCTCTGGGGAACTTCGCTCGTTTGGTGTAACGGAGAAGACACAACAAGACGCAGGCATTCTTCCTGACCTCGCTCTCTCTATTTTTCTTTTCTCTTTTCGTATTGCGTATATAATGGCACGCTTCCCTCTCTACTATGTTCTTCTTCTTCTTGGCATTGTACCAGACATGCCTACCCTATACGCGCACTTTGAGCTCAATTATCTCGGTTCCAATGAGAGATATCAAAAATCTGCCAATTGATAAAACATTTCTGATATTATGATGGACAATTTATTAGTTGTCACGTTTTTGATATCTTTCGAAGGAGCCGAGATAATTGAGCTCAAACCAGACGTATAGGGTTGGTGCCCATTGCGTACGCAACTCGACCTGCATATGATTTAGAACTAACCCTGTGAGAAAAAAACAAAAGTACACGAAACGGGTAAAAAAAGAAACTGCAGTTTGTAATGCAATTGATAAATGATAACAGGTGATAACGAAAACTTTGAAGTGAAAATAAAACAAAAAAATCTCTCGAAACTGACACTATCGCATTCTTAGACTGGTTCGCGGAACTTTGTTTAGGTGTTGAAGGAAAGTTGCCCGAAAAATGTTTTTCGTAATTTATAGTGAGAATATCAGAAACTCATAAATTTTCATAGAATTGGTTTGAATGCTTGGAAATTTCTAGAAATGGAATTTGAAAATTGGAAATAAATTACCGTAATTGCTATTAAGATAGATGCGCACCCTATATGTGCAACTTGAGCTAATTTATCTCGGTTCCTATAAGAGATATCAAAAATGTGTCAACTGATAAAAGATTTGTGATGTTATGATAAACAATTTATCAGTTAACAACTTTTTCATAGCTTTGACAGGAATTGAGATAATTGAGCCCAAATTATCTGGTTTGTGTGAGCTTCTGTTAGAGGAAATACGGTAACTGTACAAAAAAATACTAGACTCATCATTTTCTGTTGTCAATTTTCCCCATTGTCTTGGGACACTGACAACTTGAAAACGCTATAACCCAGAGTCACCCGATTTTCCCCATAGAATCCCTCTGGATTATCCGTTTTAATCGGGTCATATTCATTCCCCTTCTTAACACACTCCGTTCACTAATCACAATCAATTGTTTCGTTCACTAACTTAAATATAATTTGAATAAGCGCCAACACGTGCCGCGACAGGCGTCGCGCCGCTCGGCATTGGCGCCGACATGAGCGGCGCATTCCGCGCACGCTCACAGACGAATTGTTCGTATCAGGGAGACGGGTATCTCCCTTCTTCTGACCGCTATGCGGTCCCTTTCTACTTTTATTATAGTTTCAGACTATTTCCTACGTTTGGCAGTGTTATGGTTTTGCTAGCAACAGTTTTTGAGGGCAGCAAGGTTTCCTCCGGTAGCTCCCAGGAGGTTTTAGTCCTACACCTTTACCTCTTTTCTGTATCGCTTTCTTTTGCCCATTACTATTGTCTTTGCCGTTTATTCAATCCTCTTCCCTTCAATAAATTGGGATTTGAATAGCTTGTGTACTGTTATGCACTTGCACCGCTTATCTTACACATTGGGGGGTTTGGGGGTCTTTTACAGGTAAACAAGTCTCTCTGGTTAGGACGTTGGATCGGTCTCGGCTGACCTCGGATCCACTGTCAACATTCTCCGTTAGTGCTCACATTTAGAAAAAATTATAAGTTACCGTATTTGCTCTAATAGAAGTCCACCATGCACGTACACTTTGAGTTTAATTCAGATTCTGAGATTCTACAATGCTGAAATCCTGAGAATCTGAAATTCTGAAGTTTTGAAATCCTGAATTTTCGAAATTCTGAGATTTTCTGCGATTTTGACATCACGAAATTCTGAGATTTCAAAAAATCTAATTTTTTTATAATTTCAGAATTCCGAAAGTTTTTTCCCTAATTATTTTTCTAAAAGATGTTGACATTCTGAACAACCAATTCCTTACAATCTCAAAATCTTAAAATTGTATTAATTTTTTGTATATTTTAAGATCGAACCATCTACAAAGCATAACTAAATTTATGAAATTCAAAATTCAAAAAATCTTCTTATACATCTCTCAAAATTACAACCAAAAAAAAACTATTTACATATTAAATTACTATAGTAGGACAATAGAAAAAAAAGACAGAAACAAATTCAGAAGACCCGTTCGAATCGGGTCAAAGCGAACAAATATGAAAGAGGTAAAAGGAAAAATTAAGGCCAAAAAACACCGGGAGGAGCTAATTTTAAAAAATTGTCAGAAAACAATTTGAAATGTGTAAAATAGACAAGGTAAAAAATGAGCCATAGAAAGACAACTGGTCAAAGTGAAAGTATACATAAAAAGGTGAAAAATGGTGACTTCTAGAAGTTTCTAGAATTCCGAGGTTTAGTCCAAAAGGGGTACTGTAGAGAATGTATCCAGTGAGCCAACAAGCATTTGGGGTTGTGGAGATTGTTGGGGAATCGGGATGGAGCCCTGGAACATGGAAGTTTAAGAAAAATTTGTTTTTTTGAAATTGAACATTGGGTCCTAACTTTCGCAAGTTGGGTTTTCTAGGTCATCAACTTTTATGACCGAAAAAACACTCAAAGGCTCCAATCCTTACCAAATGCTCCTCGGGTATACTGTAGAGCGGTGAGCTCACAATCGAATGCGACACACTAATCCGTCTGATCATCGGCGCCGATGACACACTTCTAAGACGTGGCACAGTTGGAGCCGTTGGCGGAGAGAGCATATTAGGATTCTGACTTGCTGCTGACGTCATCGCTCGATTCTGTCTCCATGAGAATGAAGAACGGGCCTTTCGGAAGCAGAAGGCTGTGTAAGCGGACGATACCGACGTCTCCAGTTTCTTACAGTGATGACGTCAGCGATTCGAACATTGTTTCTGGAATGACTGGAAGACCAGGAGTTGACAGTGGAGGACTCCACAGAATCATCGTCTGTGTCTGATCTTGGCTTTGTTCTGGATCGGAAGACGTAGAGAATTGCCCAGACTGGCATTATGAAGTTTACGAAGTCGTATGGAGCTTTTAGGATGGAATATCGGATTTGGTCATGGGCCTGAAAAGTTCAGAAATTCAGAAATTCAGAAACTCAGAAACTCGGAATTAGAAAAGTTTAGAAATTCAGAAATTCGAAAATTCATAAGTTTGGAAATTCGGAAATTTAGAAATTGCGAAGCTTCAGAAATTCTGGAATCCAGAAATTCGGAAATTCAGAAATTCAGAAATAGGAAAATTGGAAAATTCAGAAGTTCGAAAATTCGAAAATTCGGAAATTTAGAAACTCAGATATTCAGAAATTCAGAAAATCAGAAATTCGGAAATTCCTGAATTCAGAAATATCGGAAATTCGGAAATTCAAAAAATAAAAAAAGTTGGAAATTCAGAGTTTCAGAAATTCCTGAATTCAGAAATATCAGAAATTCAACATTTCAGAAATTTAAGAATTCAGATTTTTCCAATTTTATCAACTTTTTGATTTCTAAAAAACTCACAAAAATCGCTGAACAACTATTAGCCGTTCTCTCATCAGCCAGCATAAACATGGAAATATGATATGCTAGATCTACAAAAGTGGCAGTTTGGAATGCCCACATCAGCACATGAAGATCTCTCTTTTGAGCTGATCTCATTTGAATTGGCGCCGAAATTCGATTCATCCGTTGGAAGATCATTAAAAACGAGACCAGTGTGAATTGAACAATGAGAAACTGTCCAGTGGAGAACCATATCCAATACGGTGCTCTACAATCTAATCGAGGTTCTATGGAAGATAGAACATATCCCATGATTAGGAAAGCGGTGAAATAGGAGAACATGAGGAACAGGGCCACGAAGCAGAGACGTTTGCCAGCTGTGGAACTCCAATGCATCATGGATGAGGCAATGTCGAGATAGAAGTAGCAGACGATGAGGAGGCAAATTGCTTTGGTGTAGGAGAGGAAGAGCGAGATTTGAAGATTCCATCCAATGAGCCATTCGAATGATCTGGAACGGGTTTTACATTGTTTCAAATCTCCTGTGCATCTAGAATAGATTTTTCTAGGTCCTCTGCCCCAAAACGCGTGTTTTTAATTGACTTATTCGATTTATAGAATGAATTCCAAAAAGTTCCACAATTCCAAAACTTCCAAAACATTTAGTCAAGTTGTTGGAATTTCTGGTGGAACACAGCTAAAAATCTCAAAAAACCCTCTCAAAATTGCTAGAAACAGTTGAAAAACTTCTCGAAAATATTGGTTTTTTTATTTTCGAACTTTAAAAAAAATCCTAAATCCGCCAAAAATCTCTGACGGAAGCACACCCAGTACTTTCACTTTGAGCTCAATTATCTCGGTTTCTATAAGAGATATGAAAAATCTGTCAACTAATAAAATGTAGGTCATGATATGAGAAATATTTTATTAGTGAACAAACTTTTGATATCTCTCATATGAACCGAGATAAATTGGCTCAAAATCAATAGTGGGGTCATTCAATTTTAGTGTTTGAGGATTGTTCCTTTGACTACAAATATCTCGGTTCATTTAAGAGGTGCCAAAATCTTGTCAACTAATAAATTATTTTTCATAATATGATTCATATTTTATCAGTTGACTAATTTATGATAGCTCTTTTAGGAACCGAGATAATCAGCTCAAACCGTTGACTCACCCTCCAAAACAATGAACTGCCAGAATATAATAGAGAAGGAGCATCAATTGTGACTGTGACGTGGCATGGAGTTTTGCGATTCGTGCCATGCACATTGCAGCCGTACACAGACCCAGAACAGCTATAACACTTGAACGAACGCATGCTGAAATTTTCAAAATTTCAGATACCGTATTTCCCCTAATGCAGCTCACCGAAACCGTCAATTTTGAGCTCAATTATCTAGATTTCTGTGAAAGATATCAAAACTTTGTCAATTAATAAAATACTGATGATATTATGATTAACAATTTATCAGCTGACAGATTTTTAATATATATCATAGGAACCGAGATAATTAACCTTAAATTTGACAGTTGGGTGAAAAAACTCATTTTTCCAATTCCAGAGCCTTATGTCCCTCTAAAAACATTAAGGAGAACTCACCAATCACATTTTTCTGACCAATACAATTCGCACACAATACATCTGTCGAATTGTGTTCTCCAGTCTCATTTTCATATGGTGGTGATACTAAAAAAAGCGTTAATTAGGTATTCTAATTACCGTATTTTCTCTAATAGAAACCTACCCTGTCCGTGCGATTTGAGCTCAATTATCTCGGTTCCGAGAATAGATATCAAAAATGTGTTAACTAATAAAATGTTGGTGATAATATGAAAAACATTTTATCAGTTGACACATTTGTGATATCTCTTATAGAAGCCGAGATAATTGAGCTCAAACTAGGGGACCCTATGCAGGTTTTACGGTAATTCGAAATTTCAAAACTTACAAATCCAATCCAAAAATGATGATGTTGAGGGTATTGCCTTATCCAGGTCCGTCAGTAGACTGGCCTTCTGAAGGGCTCGCCCAACGTACATTTTTTTGGAATTTGAATCCAAAAAATGTATAGTTTTTTTCTGGAAAAAATAGAAAAATTTATTAGGAAACCTTCACAAAATCGATGACGTAGAAGCCGGAGAAACATTGAAAAATGATAAGAGGGAATGATTTGGAAATTTTCGGAGAAATCGAGAATTGATTGTTTGAGGGTATAGGATGATGGGGTTGTTATCAGTTGAATTGTGGAGGTTCTAGACACAAAATAGAACATAAAAATTCTGGAAAATTTGTTTGGAGGGATGATTGATTTTTTGGACTTTTTTGATGGCAAAGTACACTTTTGGAGTTTTCAAATAATACTGTAAAACCTTTAATAGAAGGGCACCCATACTGTCAAGTTTGAGCTCAATTATCTCAATTTCTATAAGAGATATAAAAAAGTGGTCAACTGACAAAACATTTTTGATATTATGATTAAAAATTTATCAGTTGACAACTTTTCAATATCTCTGACAAGAACCGAGATAAATTAGCCCGAAGTAAAAAATTAGGGGTCTTTCTATTACAGGTTTCATAGTTTTTGAAAACTCGGAAATTCAAAAATCGAAATTTCCGATCGATGGAGAAGTTTGAATCACAATTTTAAATTTAAAGTTTTTTTTCAAAACTACAGTAATCCACTAACCACCAATATTTCTAAATAAAACTGAATTTCTCAGCATATAAAAAATTCTTCAAATATTTGAATTTTGCAGTTTCGATATTATTTGGTTAACACCTGATAAAGTAAACAGATTGTTTGCTGGAAAATATTCATAGCAATGTTTTTTTAAAATGTTATTCTGGTACAGAACAAATTGGAGCTGCGACCGCGGCCGAAGGTCCCACAACGAAAACTACCGTAACCCTAAAATATTTTCCTATCCCGGCTTTATTTTCTCTATTCTCGTGCGTTTTCAGTCACTTTTTCCACTATGAAAATAATTTTTCCGTTTTTTTTTAAAATTTTTTTTTGTTTTTTTCTTAATTTTTTCGAATTTTTAATTACAGAAATTTCCATTTAAAAAAATCGGAATTTTTTTTAAATCTGAAATTTTTTTTAAGTGAAAAAAATTGACTTAAAGCGCACGAAAATCAAGAAAACATCCGGAAAATAGTTGTTTTAGGTTACTGCAGTTGTCGTTGTGGGACCTTCAGTGTGGGACCCTTTAAACACAAATACAGTATCCCAGAATTTTTCTCAACTGTCAACAAACAAAAAACGTGCAAAATTCAATGTGTTATAACTTACAACTCCTAATCTATTGCCATATAATCCTCTTGGAGGGGAGAGCATCTTAAAGTGTTCAAAAAATTTTTAAAAAGAGGAAATGTTTTGTTTCTGGAGACGATCAATCAGGTCAGGTGATTGAAGTATTGGAGCCAACAAAAAAAGATAGTAAGAAATAGAAAAAAGAATACGGGGACTACTGATAAGGGTGAGAGAGGAAAAAACTTGAAGAATGGAATTTTCGATTTTTTTAATGAATTTGTTCACAGAAATTCAAAATTTGGGTGTTCAGAGGTTGAATGAAGAATAAGAATTTAAAAAAATGGGAAGCGAGCAGAATCAACAAATTTTGAAGAAACGAGAAACCGAACAACAACAACCCAACATGTTTTCGGTCATTGGACACTTTGTTGTGGTCGATGGTGTGCCAGATTTTATTATTCAGGATGGCAATTTATTGATTTTAGGACTACTAAACTGAAAAATTATAAAAATTGAAATTTTCGAAAATCCCAAATATTCGCAAAATCCAATTTTATTACTTTATTTTGAGCAGGAAAATCCAGTAAATTCACATAAAAACGAAGGGAAAATTTCGAAAAAAATTCCTTCACTACGAAAAACGCATCGGAAAACGATTAGGGACGAGATTGAGTTTTCTAGTCCCCCGCTGCCTCGGGCCGCGCGGGAAATTCAAGTTTATATTGATTTTCAGTTTTTTTTTCTGTGTTTTTCGATGTAATATAGGAGAAATCCTGAAAAATCGACAAAATTTTATTTTTAAAAATGTGCATTTTGGGATTTTTAAAACAAAAAAGTTCAAAAATGCCGAAAACTCATTTTCGGAGCTTTGAAACCTCGATTTTCGAATCTCCCGAAATATGGGTTTTCGGGCGTCCTGAATCCGTTTTTGAGCATGAAAATGACGATTTCTATGTTAGAAAACAGTTTTTTAAGCACTGGCCGCAGGGGTCTCGAAAACTCAAGTCCCTAATCGTTTTGCAACCGCGTTTTTGAGGATTTCAGATTTTTTTCGAATTTTTCTTTATTTTTATATGAATCAATATGATATTCTGCACAAAATGAAGCAATAAAAATTTTATAATTTATGGGGTTTTCGAAATTTTCGCGACTTCTGACAATTTCAAGTTTTTAAAGGTTTTTGAACTAGATTTTCAGAAACGAAGCTGATTTTAGTAATCGTTTAACTATGAGAGGAAATAAAGAGAAACGATTTTACACCTTCAAGGAAACAGAAAAAGTGAAAATCCAATACTTAGATAAAAATCTGAATGTTGTTTTTGGACTTTGTAAATTTATAATCTACTTTACGATACTGGAAAAACGCTAAAATTAGCAATCAATCTAATCTTATCTATCAGGAGAATTCCTCATTTTTTTGTTATGAATCAGCTATTAGTCATATCAAGGATTCTGCAAACAAAAATTCCTCATGAATGAAATGTTTTCCTCAGAAAAAAAAATTCAGCAATTTCAGGAGCTCTGAATAAAAATTTAGTAATATTTTAGACCTTTCCAGAGCAACCTAGGTTTTCTATAAACAATATGACTAGTACAATTGAGAGCGAAAAGAAGAGAGAGAAAAAGTGGCTGACGAGGGCACGTGAACCTCAATCGGAGACGACAGGCTGGGAGGCAGTTGATGAGAGAGTATTGAAAGTGAAGAGACGGAGAGGAGGAAGGAAATTTAAGGGCAGATGGGAGGGTGAAGACGAGGCCATTGTATTGGACGAGTGGCAATTCTGAAAAAAGATTTGAACCTCCTGAAAACTCACCACTAAACTTCTCAAGAAATTTCTTTTTATACAGGAAATGCGATCGATGATCGCCGATCATACAATATAAATACCGGAGGCAACTGAATAATACACGAGGATCATACAATCAATAGGAGATAGGGATAAAATGCTAGTATAGAAAATTAGTATCGCATCGAACGACTTCTTGTTTGTGGGCGAGATCGAAGTCCTGATGCAGCGGCTCTTGGTGGCACAATATGCGGCACAATGTCTTCGTCGAGAACCTCTTGCTTCACTTCTCGGTCCCTCAGATTGTAGAAGACGTCTCCTCCATCGTTCTCATCGTTTTCATCGCTGTCCGATAACTCTTCTTCTTGCATCTCAAAATCCTGATCGAGCGCTGGAGCGATCTGGACTGGCTGGAGAAGACGTGGGTTTCGGGAGCGGGAGACGGATCTGGACGCCGGGCGACGGTGTCGAATAACTTCGATAGACGAATCGATTTCCTCAATTTCCATACGCTCAGCTGCAGTCGCCGAGCTGTTCAATGCATTGGCTACCTAAAAAAAACTATATTTTTACAAAAATCGTTCCTATAACTCACGGAAGCCAACAACGCTGGTGCAGTCATCGCCACTGCTGGAAGCTTCTCCCACACCTTGTTCATCACTGTCGATGTGACATTGTCGATTCGTCGCTCGTACTTTCTGAGGAATGGAGCCAAGAACTTTGTGTAGAGCATGGAAGCGAATCCGAGATGAGGTGCGGAGAGGAGGACGACGAAGGAGAGGCAGAAGAAATCGTAGAATGGAATGAAGCATGAGATGAAGAATGTGGTTAGGAACCAATCGGTTATGAGGAACGAGCCGTAGATGGTCCAGAAATGGAGACATTGGATCTGGAAATGACTTCATTGATTTTTAAGCCGTATTTTTGAAAAGGATTTTTTTGCAGGTTTCCTCGCGAATTTCAGAGCCCAAATTGCATCTTTTAAACCCCTCTTACTGTTGAATTCCCAATTCCCTTACCAATTTCGGTTTCGTCGGTTTTTTGAGCACTTTGAACGAGTGAATGACCGGCGCGACAATTCCGATGAGATTCGAGAGGCCACGAGCGAGAAATGACATATTTTAAGACGAGTAGTGACACGAAAATCTGCAATATTTCTGCTGAAAAGTGGGAAGAAAAGAGAAAACCGCGCTGGCAATTCGAAAAAATACAGTACAACAAAAGATCGTGGCGAGACCCAAGAGTGAAAATCTGGCATGATTCTTTGCGAGAAGTGATGAGTTTAGGGTCGAAATTCGATGGTTTCAAGGCAAAAAATGAGGATTTTTTGCGAAAAACCTAAAGTATTTTTTAGGATGTACTTTTTAAAGGCTTTTTCAAGACTTTTTGAAGCTTTTTTCTAGAAAAAAAACTTCAAAAAGTGCACGAAAATTGAAATACAAGGTACTGTATTCGAAGAATTCGTGCTGATGCCCCCAACGCCTCAGAGAACATGTTCCTTTGAAGTGAGTCATTGTTCTTTCTTTTTCGGCGAATTTTCGCATTTTACGCTCAAAAAACCAAAATCCCCATGTTTTCCTCTAATTTTTGGGTGAAAAATCGAAATTTAGAGGTTAATCAATTGCTTCCCAGTTAAAATTCGCGCTGTTTGCGCGCGTGGACGTGGCCGAATTTCCAACCCATATCCTCCGGCAGAAACGTCGATAAACAGAGAGGGGAAAGAGGACGCGAGCGACTAACATACGCTTTTTCGTAAATTTATCCCTTTCAACCCATTTTTCTCTGTGAATTGATATAAAAATCCCCTGAAAACCCTTTAAATTCTAAAAATGGGTGATTACGAAAATGTATTGCTTGTAAAGCCAAAAGTCTTTGTCTACCGCATCCCACCAATCGGAACATCAGGTCATAAGTGAGTCCACATTGCACAACCTCAAAATTTATTGATTTCTTTTCCAGAGCCGCCGACTGGAACCTCGACGCGCCTGCATGGACAGGAAGAATGCGACTAGTGGCGATTGGAAAACGTCTAGAGATGCGACTCGAGGATGGAGAGACTTGTAAACTCTACTTTTATGTTTGAAATGCATAAAGAAGTGTTTTCAGGCGATTTGTACGCCAAGTGTCCCATCGATGCTCACCCGGGGAACGCGGTCGAAGCAGTCAGCGATAGTTCGAGATACTTTGTGATTCGCTTGATGGTAAGTATTGAAAAATCGCGGAAATTGAACATAAATAAATTCAGAACGACAACGGGCAGCAAGCATTCGTCGGCTGTGGATTCCAGGAGCGCGGTGACGCCTTCGATTTCAATGTGACGTTACAAGTGAGCAAGAATCCCTTAAATTTGTGAATCCGAGCCAATTTTTTCTTCAGGACCACTTCCGATACATCGAACGAAGTGCTGAGCTGGAGAAACAGGATCTCAGCGCCGGACCGAGTCTTGATCTGGCTTTCAAAGAGGGCCAGACGATTTCTATTAATATTGGGGTAAATATTAGGTTTTTCAACAGATTCCTAAAATTTCTGTTATAGAAAAAGAACAAGAACGCGGTGCCACGACCTCGTCCGGCTGCTGCAGCTGCTCCGGGTGGCCTTGTTCCGTTGCTTCCACCACCGCCAGGTGCTGGGTCTATGGTAAGTACTTAAGGTGTGAAATCTGGAAATCTGAGAAAAATCTTGTTAACAAATGCCAATTTTAGAATTTTTGAGCCCAAAAAATCATTTTCTGAGCTTTCAAACTTTCAATTTTTGATTTTCCCGGGTCTGAAAACCTCGAAAAACTTTTTTGGGATTCGAATCTGTGACCCCTTGCCTCCAAAATTTTGGCCGAAAATTCCACTAGACCATCCGAGTAAATTCTGGTAAATCTGATTTTTTGACCGAAATATGGCTTTTTGGGCGTTCTGAATCAGTTTTTGAGCATAAAAATGATCATTTCTATGCTCAGAAACAGCCTTTCGCGCGCTGCCCGCGGTCGTGGGGGACTAGAAAACTCAAGCTCGTCCCCTAATCGTTATTCGATGTGTTTTTCTCAAAAGTCGAATTTTCAAGAATATTCCGCAGTACACTCCGCATTGTGTTTGCACACACTGCTTCGACAGTAATCCACGGGTTACGTAATGTTACGTAGAGTGTTTACGGACCTCTGCCCACCGTAATCCCCTGAGAAGTTGATTTCTAGCTCGTTTTCCTCCAATTCTTGTTCTTTTTTTTTGAGTATTTTCGAAAGAGAAAAGCAGATTTCAAGTCAATTTTTAAAATTTTTTGCCAATCTTAAAATTTCCATCGATCACATGTACTGAACACCCTCTTTTGATAACAACAATGTACTTTTTTCGCGAGAAAAAAGTGAAAAAAATGTGATGAATCTTATCAGTCGGCCTGCTTTATCGATCACTTTCTCTATAGACTTTAGAGAAGTTCGCTGTTTATTTTTTACAAAAAATATTGATTTTCTTCTGAAAATCTGAAACTTTGAAGTTTAACTTTTCGAGAACTTTTTTCAGTACTCCGTCTTTGTCCCTTTTCCAGCTTATCATATGGCACAATATCCTTCCTTTTTTCACAAAAAAAGGAAGGAAAATGTCGAAATTGCGTTTAAATATATGTTGTTGTCCCTGGCAACCGCAACTTGCTCTTCTTTTCCACATATGAAGCTTTTTATGCCTCCCAAACTGAGGGGAAAAGAGCGTATAATGGCTTTGGCCGTAAAAAGATGTAATTGGTCTGGGATTTTGAGAATTAAAATGAGGAAAATAGGGATTTTATTACACACTGAATTATGGTCCATAAATCGCTAATCGCTCAAAGATTCTAGAAAATTCCGAAAAATTCCAAATTTTTAGATCCGAAACTCTCGTCCAATTGGTGGTCCAGCTGCTCCCGCTTCATCGTCATCTCCATTCCCAACGCCGCCAGCTAGTTCCAATAATTCTGGAAATTTACTGTACGATTTGCCTTCAACCCTGAAAATCCCAATTTTAGGCTTAAATTCCACTAAAAATGAATATTTTAGCTCGTTTTTTGAGGATTTTAAGCCAAAAATAGAGATTTTCAGAATTTCACTAAAAATGGTTATTTTAAGTCATTTGTTGATGATTTTAGGGTTAAAATTTAGATTTCCCATCTCAAAAAACCCCCTGAAATTCATATTCTAGGCAATTTTTGAAGGCTGAAAATCGTTTTTACGATATTCTGGCTACATAAAAACCCTCTGACATATCGATCCCCTCGTGATAAGGGGGCCTTATCATACGTAAGCATTGCTCGCCCTTACCCCTTTCGCTCGCCCTCTATTCACTTGTTCCCCTCTTTTTTCCCAGCCACACACATAAGCATTTTCAGAGATTTCTAATCGAAACGACGGAGAGACACCCGCCCTCTGCCACCGCTGCCGCCACCTCATCATCGTTCCTTCCGTATCGCTGTCTGCGTCTCTTTATCTCTCGTCACTCTCGCTTCACTTCTCGTCCCCCGGCTGCTGCTGCACTTCGTTCACCCTGGACGACCAGCCGGGATTTTCACTTTTTCTCTCTTTCTTTTTTTTTCAAAAACTGAATAAAATACACTAATTTATTTTGATTAATTAGCCAATTAATTATTTTTTTCGTTGATAGCTGCTGTGATTCCTTTCTTTCTTTCCTGTCTCTCTTCTATTTTTTTTCTCTTTCGCTTGTAATTTTTTGATGGATTTACTACGCAAACAAAACACCCTTGTTTCTTTAAATATTTATCTATTTTTTGCCTATTTTTAACGGTTTCTGACACCGAAATTTATCTCTGTTCTTTTTTTTTTATTTCCAGGACAATGGGCGCAGTTTCAGCCACTAAAATTCATTTTTGCAGGGAGAGGCTTTTGGGCGATCAGAGCTGAAAGGAATAAATATAGGAAATAATGTTGAACTTGGTGAGTTTTAGGTTAGAAAAAGTGAAAAAAAATCGGATTTTGAGCCTAAAAATAGGTTCAAATAGTTGAAAATTCTCAAAAATCGTTTTCTGAGCTTTCAAAACCTCGGTTTTCGAATTTTCGGCAACTGAAAACCTCTAAAAACATTTTTGCCACCGGTGGGGTTCGAACCTGAGACTCATTGCCACCAAAATGTCGGTTGAAAATCCCACTAGGCCGCCCGAGCAATTTTTCGGAAAATCTGATTTTTGAACCGAATTATGGGTTTTTGGGTGTCCTGAATCTGTTTTTGAGCTTTAATATTTCTTTATTAGAAAACAGCTTTTCGCGCGCTGGCCACGGCCGCAGGGACTAGAAAACTCAGGTTCGATTTTTTGGTGAATTTCCATGACTTTCAGCACAAAATGAATAGATTTTTGAGCCTAAAAATGTCCAAAAAGTTAAAATCCCGTCTAATAATCTTAAGCTTAAGGGTCCCGGTGTCGCCGTTCCACCAGCTGGCTCCGCGTCGGCCACAGCGATCCGTCGTCTCCAGAAGGACTTTGCGAAGCTCATGCAGGACCCAGTGGATGGAATCAAAGCGTTGCCCAACGAGGAGAACATTCTCGAGTGGCACTATTGTCTTCGTGGAAGTCCAGACACTCCGTTCCAGGGAGGATTCTATTGGGGAAAAGTGATCTTCAAGGAGAACTTTCCGTGGAGTCCACCAGCTATCACAATGATCACTCCGAACGGACGTTTCGCGACGAACACGCGTTTGTGCCTCTCGATTTCTGATTATCATCCGGAATCGTGGAATCCTGGATGGACGGTGTCGGCGATTCTCATAGGACTTCACTCGTTTATGAACGAGAATCAGCCGGCTGCTGGATCAGTGGCTGGAACTCCACAGGAGCAGAGAAATCTCGCGGCGGCTAGCAAGGAATTCAATGTCAAGGTGAGGCCTGTTTTAGATACCATAAAACCTGTAATAGAAGGGCCCCCTCTATCTTCTAACTTTGATCCAATTATTCTCGGCTCCTGTCGAAAATATAAAAAAGTTGTCAGCTGATAAAATGTTTATCATGACATCAGAAATGTTTTGTCAGATGACTGATATCTTGCAGAGGAATTGAGATAATTGAGCTCAAACTTGACTATATGGATTACGGTAGATGGTCCTTACACCCTTCTTTATCATTCCAGTACCGCGAATTCCGTCACTTCTTTCCGCAATACGTGCAAGAATGGACTGGCGTCATTCCAAGTCCAGATGAGCCCAACGTTGCTCCAAAGATGCTCCCGGAGCACGCCACACCAACTGGAATACCTGTTCCCGACATGGCACATCACTCGTCTCGTGCCGCCTACGCGAATCGTGGTGGATTCGATGATATGATGAACGTGCTTCGTGGAGCTGGAGCAGCTGGTCAGAGAAGACCCCCTCCAGGTGCTCCAGCGATGTATTATGCGGCGCCACCGCCAGCAGGTTAGAATCTAAAATTGCGATTTGAAATTTCAAAGCTACAAGCATTTTTTTTTCAGCCCCAGCAGCTATGCCACCAGCACTGTACCATGATCTCGCCGCACTCGCAGCTCAACAACGTCAACAAGCTCAGCAGAACGCTCAGGCCGTTCAACAGGCTGCCGCTGCCGTCATGGGAGTTGCTCCAGTGGCTGCTGCTCCGGCTGTGCCAGTTATAGCCGCTGCCCCAGTTCATGCTGTCGCTCCACAACAACGCACTCTTCGTCCACGTGGAGGTGCCGCCGTCGCCGCTGTTGTTCCTGCTCAGCCACAGCAACCAGAAGTGCCGGTGGGACGACAAACTCGCCGAGCCACCAGACGCAATCAGGTATGCCTTTCTTTTTTTTGCCGACAAAAATCAGAGCTGTGGAAGAGAAAAGGCCCCATAGCGATAACTACCGTAATCCTGAAAAATCGACAAAAAAAAATTCGAAAAAGGAAAATATTTTCAGGTTACGGTAGCTGTCGTTGTGGGACCTTTCATTTTTATGTCAGAATAATATTCGAAGAAATAACAAATTCGGGTGGTGTTAGACTAATACAAGAGTGGTGGTTTAAAAAAACGATAAAAATCACAAATTTAACAAAGGAAGCTTACTGATCACACAGACACAAAACATACCGTAAACCCTGTAATAGAAGAGCCCCCAGATTGTCAAGTTTGAGCTCAATTATCTCGCTTCCTATGCTAGATATCAAAAATGTGTCAACTGATGAAATGTTTGTGATATTATGATAAACAATTCATCAGTTGACAACTTTTCTATATCTGTCACAGGAATCGAGATACACTGGCTCACAGGGGTCCCCTTCTATTACAGGTTTTGGGGTACGCATTTTTACAAGATTTCGCACTCATGGCTTCATTTTTCTCTGGTTTTTTTATAGGATGCTGCTCAATGAAACTAATGAAAATCTGTGTGTATTGGCTCTCTCTCTCTCTCTCTAATCCCGCGTTCCCTAGTGTGTTTCCTAGGTACGTCATTTTTTTTTCAAAAGTTATTTTTCTGATTTTTGTCCTGTGCATGCATGCTTTTTGATATTGTGAATTTTTTGTTTTTTTCTGTCATTTAAATGATATTTTTGGTTTCGAAACCTATTGGATTCGTCATTTTGACGTCTTCTGACCCCGATTTCGAGAAGAAGAGTAAAATTTTTCAACCAAATGGAGTGTTGTGGGCGGAGCTTGGCTAATTTGTTTTCGTCTACTTCTCTCGAGCAGCATGTGTGCTCTTTTTACTCCCCGTCTCTTCCTTCCTTCTATTCCCCCTCTCTTCACTTTCTGATTTTACTCGATGACGTGTTGGCTGGACTTCGGAAGGATAGGCTTGCTTTCATCCTTCTTCTAAAAGCTCGAGAAATTAAAAAAGTTCGAAAATGTTCAAAAATTGAGAAAATGTTGAGAATCGATAAAATGGAATTTTCAGAAAATATATGGTAATTCGAAGTTCTACAAATTCAAAAATCGAGAAAAAATTCATAAAAATGCAGAAAATTCAAAGCTTATCTCTGCTTTCCTAACAAATCCCCTGAACTCCTAATTCCGTAATTTCGACAAAAAAGATTTTCTCAAATAACCTGATTTCTTCACCCGTGCACCCGTATCACCACCGCAATATCATTAACACACTTTATCTTTTATCAAAATGAATCGCCAGGACATAACGTATCTCCTCTAATAGACGCCCGCCCAAACTGTCAACTTGGAGCTCAATTATCTCAATTCCTGAGGAAGATATCAACATTTTGTCAACTGATAACGTATTGGTGATATTATGACAACAATTTCATCAGTTGACAGTTCTTTGATATCTTTCACAGAAATCGAGACAATTGAGCTCAAAGTTGATGGTTTGAATGGGCCACTGTTAGAGAGGAAATACAGTACTTTTGATTTTTCAAAATTTCAATATTTTCAGAACAATCCACCAGAAGCAGCGGTTCCAGCGAAGCGTCGAAACAATCGTACATAAATCCATCAATAAATCGAAACCTCCATTTTTATCAGTTTTTTTCATCAATTTCTACCATTTTTTCCCCGATAAAAATCCTCCATTTTCCCCCCGTTTCATCATCAAAAGTGTACATATTGTTGTACGAATAATTTCTTATTTTTTCTGCGGTTCTCTCTTTTCTCTACTCTCTCTCTCTCTCCTCTCTGGGACATTCTCTCCAATAGAAAGTCTCTATCTATACAAAAAACTAACAGTTTCTCTATTTTTAACCCCCTGAAACTTTGTCCCATCCATCTCGATCTTCGTTCCCCATGATTTTCAAGAGCTACAGTAACCCAGTTTTTTTACTTGAAAATTTTAATTTTTGGCTAGTTTTCCGATGCTCCGTGACCCGTCCCGTCCCTCCCCATTTTTATATTTTCTCTCTGCCACACATCCCGTTCATTTTGCCCGTTTTTCCCCCATCGATCCATCTCTTTTTTTTTATTTCGGTAATGATTATTTTTTCTTTTTCTAATTCAAAAATTGTCGTGTCTCTGTTGTATTTCCGAACTTTGGAAATGTCCTCTCCCCGCTTTATTCGGTTTTTTTTCGCTATTCTGATTACTCGGCTTATCACATTAGAATGGTTAAATTTTGTGGATTTTAGAATTTTCTGATTTTTTAAAATTTGGTCATTTTCACCATTTTATACTGAGTTTTTAATATTTTTTTTCTATTTTAAGTTACGAAAAATTCAGATCAAAAGATGCCGTCCGAGGTGCCAACGGTCGCGTTTCAACGTCTGAAAAAGGATTACCAGCGACTTTTAAAGTGGGTTTTGGATTTTTGAAATTTTGGTAAATCGAAAATTTCAGAATTTGGATTTTTAAATCTGAAAAAAACCCAAATTTTGGATGTTTGGAAATTTTCAGATTTTTTAAATATTAAAAACCCCAAATTTTGGATTATTTGAAAATTCGAGAAAAACCGAAGATTTGGAATTTTTCGAATTGAAAAAAAACCGAAACTTGGATTTTTTGAAAAATTGGGAACAATAGAAAATTCGGAATTTGGAATTTTTCAAATTGAGAAAGAGGAAAATTTCTGATTTTTTGAAATTTTGAGAAAAATCGAAAATTTTGGATTTTTTCAAATTGAAAAAAAACTTCAATTTTGAATTTTTTGAAAATTTGGGAATAATAGAAAATTCGGAGTTTTCGATCTGAAAAACCCACATTTTTGGATTAAAAAAAAAATTGACGAATTTCAGAAATTTGGATTTTTCTCTCAAAATCCTGCGATTTTTCCCACAACTGTATCCCAAAAAGCCTCGATTTTTCCAGAGAACCAGTTCCATACATGAAAGCGGCGCCGCTGGAATCGAACATTCTCGAATGGAGATACATTATCATTGGAGCGCCAAAGACTCCGTACGAGGGTGGGATTTACCATGGAAAACTTCTCTTCCCAAAGGATTTCCCATTCAAACCACCAGCGATTCTCATGTTGACACCGAGTGGCAGATTTCAGGTGATTACAGTAACCCAGGGTTACTGTAGATTTTCGAAATCTTTGAAAAAACTCAAAATTCTTAATTACTAGGTCCCAACAGGAAAACTATAGTAGCCTAGTTCCACTAGAAATGTTCCATAATTCCAGGTCAACACCCGTCTGTGTCTCTCAATCTCTGACTACCACCCGGATACGTGGAATCCAGCATGGACGGTGTCCACAATTATCACTGGATTGATGTCGTTTATGAACGATAATCAGCCGACGCTGGGAAGTCTGAATTCGTCGGAATCCGAGCGACGTCTTCTGGCTAAAAAATCGAAGGCATTCAATATCAAAGACAAAGTGTTCTGTACGATGTTCCCAGAAGAAGCGCAAGAGATTCGAGACGATATTCAGAAAATGAATCAGGAAGAGCTGGATAGTATCAAGGACGAGGAAACGGCGATTCGAAATCGGTAAGGGTTTTGTCAAATTTGTGCTAAACTATCCCTTGTTTTCATGAGAAGAATTTCGGATGTCTTACAGCACAATTTTGTTGTTAGCACAGTTTTGAACATAGCTGCAAGCGGGCCTGCTGTCAAATTTTCCCTAGAACGAGATATGCAGACAATTTTGGTACCAAATGATAGATCTCAACAGGGCCTATCACGTTTATATCATTCGAGTCGAAATATGTTTGAATGACAAAAATTCTGCTTTCAAATTGGTCGAAAATTGTCATTCAAACACATTTTTCGACATGTTATCGGACCGGAATCCGGCTCGTATGATATAGACGTGATGGGCCCTGTCGAGATCTATCATTTGGTACTAAAACTGTCTGAATATCTCGTTCTAGGGACAAGTTATCAGCCGGCCCGCTTGCGACTATGATTGTGAACCTCTTTTTCAAGCATGCTCCCAATCAAAATTTCTTTTAAAAAACTGAATTTTTCTAGACGCAGAGGCGACGCATCGCGCGGAGTACCCCGACTGTCGGCGTTGCTGTCCAATATGATGATGATTGCAGGCGTGGCGGTACTTGCATTTGCAGTTAGATACGTGGTCCTAGCGGCTGCCGAATTTGAGAAAAGGAGATAACACATTTTCTCCTTTCAGTTTCTTTTCGCTTTAAAACTAACAACCAAATTCTGCGGTTAGCGTTAATTCCACGTGTCTAGCTACTAGCAAATCAACAAGTTTTCACCGATAATATCCCCCATCTTCTCCTCTTTTCGTGTCACCATCCTCTCTTTTTGAAATCCCTGTGCGGTGAGAAACCTTATGTAAATCGTGTAATTTTTAATCTAGTTTTCTTACAGATTTTCAATTTCATGTCCCCGAGTCCATCATCTCTTTTCATTGAACTATTCTTGCTTTCTCTCTTTTCCTCTTCCAAAGAATTGTTATTCCACAATAAAATTGGGAAAATTGGGATGCTCTTTGACCTAAATTTTTAAACAAGACAAGTTGCCTTAATTTTGTGATATTTTCATTCGTCTTTTCTCCCCCGTTGTTCTCCACCTCGTCTTAGCCATCATCCATCCACACACACACTTTAGAATAAATCAATGTTTTCCTATTTTTTTTTCTGTGACACAACTTCAAAAAAAAGTTACTGCTTCTTTTAGATATTTTCATGAAGAATTGAAGAACTTAATAGCAAAAAATAGGAAAAATTTCAGATAAATCGGTTGACAAATGGTGAAATGAGATTCTATAGGGTACTCGATATCGAAAAATAATTGTTTCCCAGAAAATTGAGTTTTCAGACATATCTACTAGTCGCCGGAGCGTTTTGCTCCATCTGCACACTTGCCGTGATTTTTAATTGCGGTTGGGAGGATAATAGTGAAATTAGAGGCAGAGAAAACGGAAAAAATGGTGAGAAATTGAACAATTTTTTGGAATTCTTGCTTTTTTTCTGAATTTTTTTTTAGCATTTTGACATAATTGTGTTTTTTCTAGCATCTTTTACTCTAAAATTATCATGTTACGATCTAAAATTGCCCGAAAACCCCGCTCTTCCCAAAAAATTCGACAAAAAAGCTCCAGGTACCGTAGTCGCTGATTTCGCGGCGAAACCCTTCGAAGAAATTCGATGCTCCTTTAAACTCGTGTCGATTTACAGGAGTTTTCGCATCGGAATTTTCGGTCGTAAACTTTTTTTTGTGAATTTCTGACGATTTTTACCGTTTTCTCGATGTAAATTGGAAAAATGTGATTAAAAAATGAGGAAATCATTGAAAAAACGATGAAAATCGTCTTGAGACGCTTTTTCAGTTAATTCATGAAATTTTCGCGTTTTTTGGCTCTCGGAATCTCAAAAGAAACCGAAAGCGAGCGAAAGAAAGCGAAAAAACCGAAAAAAACTTCCGAAACGCCCGACTACAGTAGTCGCCGATTTCGTGGCGAGACCCTTCGAAATAATTCGATGCTCCTTTAAACTTGTGTCGATTTACGGTTTCCGTCGGAATTGTCGGTTTTTTCTGTGGTTTTTCAAGGTTACTATAAGAGATTTTTGCGAAAAATAAATGATATTTCACTCTCCGAATCTCGAAAATAAGAATTTTTCCAGACAACATCGCTCTCGCTTCCACCGCTCACCTCTCCGAAACATTCCTCTTCGTCTCAGTGCTCTCATCTCCAAATGAAACAGAACGTCGTCAGAATGTTCGAGAAACGTGGTTCCGACTTTCAGCGAAAGGACCGTCCGTTTTTATAGCGAAATTTGTAGTTGGAACGATGGGATTAGACTCGGAAGAGAGGAAAATTCTAGAAGAGGAGAACGCGAAATTCGGCGATTTGTCGTTTCTAAAGAGACACGAAGAAGCATACGATAAGTTGGCGAAAAAGACGTTGTTCAGTTTTCAGAATGCGTATGATAATTTTAAATTCAAATTTTTCTTGAAAGTGGGTCTCCTCTTGCCTAATAATTGGAATTTTTCATTAAAAGACTTCCAGACCGATGCCGATTCCTTTGTCCGTATCACTCCGCTTATCATGAATCTAAAAACTGTGCAACATCCAATGCTTTATTGGGGATTTCTCGATGGAAGAGCCAAACCATTCAGGAAGGGAAAATGGAAAGAGCCAGAATGGAATCTTTGTGATCGCTATTTACCCTACCAGGTTGGAATTAGTCGATCTTTTGATCATTTTTGCCCTATTCTTTGCCAAAAATTGAGATTTCCGGTCTCGAAAAATCACTGGAAATTCACATTCTAGGACATTTTGAATGCTAAAAGCTGGCCCTGAAATCGTCGCTACCCAGAGAATTTTGAATTTCAAAAATCTGAAAATCCCCTATTTCCAGCTCGGCGGTGGCTACATCCTTTCCTACGAACTCGTCCGCTTTCTTGCCACCAACGCCCCTCTATTCCGGATCTACAAAAATGAAGATGTCTCTGTGGGGGCGTGGCTCGCCGGACTGGACGTAAAATACGTCCACGACCCCAGATTCGACACAGAATGGACGTCTCGTGGATGCAGCAACGAGTACTTGATCACTCATAAACACACGATGCAAGAAATGACACAAATGTACGAGAATCTCAAGACGACTGGCAAACTCTGCGCTAAAGAATTCCAGTGAGTTTTGTTGTCCTCGTGGAGTACACGAGAGTGTGCAGTGGGACGCGCTTGCTGACCATAACAATCTTTTTGCAGACGCCGTCTCTCGTACGTCTACGACTTCTCGAAACCGCCAAGCGAGTGTTGTACAAGAGTCAATGGCACCAATATTCCATAATTTATTGTTAATTTCCTTTTTTTTGTGTGTAAGAATTGCATTTTTCTCCCTCATACCGGTCCTTCTTCGTAGCTTTTCTTCCTCTGATTTGCCAGAATTCTTTTTTTACGAGGTTTTTTTATAAATTGCATGCATAATTTGAAAATTGTCTTTCCATAAATTATTTGATTAACCAGAATCTAGATATTTGGAACTTGTTAGATCGATTTATATTTTCGGAAAAATTTTTAATTTAAAATTTAAAGAAAAATTTCAGAATGTCCGACAACTCGCTGCCACCAGGATGGGAGAAGCGCCAGAGTCGCACCAATGGTAAGAAAAAAAAGAGAAAAATTGAAAAAAAAATAAATTAAAAAGTCGAATGTCGTGTCGAAACCCATGCTCCTCCTGAAGGCTGCGCCTTCAAAGTATTACTGTAGGAATTTTATCGATTTTTTGATAATTTTTGATGGTTTTTAACAGTTTTTGATTAATAAAAAAGAAAAAAGCGATGAAATGTCGGAAAGTTGAAAAAAAGTTTATGCGATTTTTTTATCAAAAAAAAATTCCAGACCGAGTCTACTACTTCAACACGGCTACCGGTCAATCCCAATGGGAACGACCGGAGCATACGGCGTTCGGAAAAGGATCCGAGCTGACTCAAGTCCAATGTCTTCATCTTCTGGTGAAGCACGAAGGAAGTCGTAATCCATCGTCGTGGCGTTCGGATCGTATCACACGATCCAAGGAGGATGCGATCAATATTTTGAGAAGTTAGTAGTTCAACTACTGTAGTTGGAGCAAGATTTCTGTTTAAAAAAAGTCATATTTCATCATTTTAGACTACGAAAAAGAGCTCAAAGACGCATCGGATGTCCAGGGAAAGTTCCGTGAACTCGCCAAGCAGTTCAGCGATTGCAGCTCAGCGAAGCGTGGAGGAGATCTTGGAGTACGTTTTTTTTTATCTTCTGAATTCTCATAAGGCCTTCAAACGAGAGGAAAAATATGTAGATTCATATAGAACCAAAAATCTCAAAAAATCTGTTTTGGAATGTTCTCGAATTTTCTCTTTTTGAATTCCCGCCAAAACTGGAAACTCTGAAAAATCAGCAATTTTTCGAGAGAATAATTAATTTTTTCGTCGATTTTTTGCAGAATTTTTTTGGCCTTTTCAGGGTTTTCAGCTATTTTCAAAGATTCTTTTTTGATTTCCCTAATTTTTGCCTGAAATTTGACATGATGTTGTTCGCGAGGATTACTGTAGATTACTGTGAAAAATCTTTAAATTTTGTAGTTCTTTTGTCTGCATTCTGACGTGATTGTGTTTGCAAAAAAAACTACAGTAATCTACGCGAATGCCATCCTGTCAAATTTCAGACAAAAATTTCGGAAAAATCTGAAAAGAATTATCAAAAATAGCTGAAAAAACTAAAAAGGTCTAAAAAATTTGCTAAAAATCGCAGAAAAACATCGATTTTTTCCCCGAAAAAATATCTAATTTTCAGAGTTTTCAGTTTTGGCGGGAATTCAAAAAAAAGGTATTCGAGACTATTCCAGAAGCGACTTTTCGAGATTTCGCCAATTTTTTTTGAGTTTTTCTTTGCTTCTATATGAATCAATGCCTGCTTTAAGCCTTCAAAAATGGCCTAGAATGTGAATTTCCAGCGATTTTTCGAGACCGGAAACCTCAATTTTTGCCTAAAATAGGACAAAAATGACCTAAAATTGTCGTGGAATTTAATCTTATCTTACCTTTTTTTCCAGCCATTCAAACGCCGACAAATGCAAAAACCATTCGAAGACGCGTCGTTCGCTCTGGAGGTCGGAGAGATGTCCGACATAGTCGACACCGATTCTGGAGTTCATCTCATCTACCGTATTGCTTAAATTATTGTCTCTATTTTTCCCTAAATCTCCTAATTTTTCATGTTCTCTGACTTTTTTTTTTGCTCCAGTTTGTCCCTTTCCATAAATTATTTGGCCTCAATTATACAAGTTTTTTTTCAGAATTTTCCGGGTCTCAGCCCTAGTTTCCATTTTTTCGATTTTTGCCAGAATTTTTTTCCAGAATTCCTTCGTTTTTGCAGACCAAATGAGCCGGGATGAGGAGCACAGTCGGTTCGTGAGCACGTTGACTGGATGCTCTCAACGAGAGCTGTTTCTCACTTTTCTCATCACACTGTTGGGCTTGTTTATAAGGAATTTGACGCTTCCGTGGATCTTTTTAGGCATTAGATATGATACTGGAAGGTGAGAGAAATAGTTGAAAAATGGGAAAAATTAGAATTTCAAGGTGGGCGGAGCTTAGATTTTTCCTTTTTTAAGTGGTGGCCTAACTTTTTCAAATTTGGTTTACTAGGCCACCACTTCCAAATGACCTAGAAAACACACCAGGTGCATGGCAGACCGTTTTTAAGTGATGGCCTAAAAAACCAAACTTATAAAAGTTAGGCGGCCTAACTTTTGCAAACTGAGTTTTCTAGGTCACCAAATTTTTCGGCTTAAAAATGACCTGCTATTCATTTTTTGTGTTTTCTAGGTCATTTTGAAGTGATCGCCTAACTTTTGCAAATTCGATTTTCTAGGCCACCACTTCAAAATGGCATAGAAATGTCCTGACATGGCCCTGGTATGATTTCTAGGCCATTTTTAAGTAGTGGCCTAACTTTTGCAAACTGAGTTTTCTAGGCCACCACTTCCACATGGCCTAAAAATGCCCAATATAACTCTGGTGTGTTTTCTAGGACCTTTTGAAGTGGTGGCCTAACTTTTGCAAGTTGTGTTTTCTAGGCCATCAATTCTTTGGCCTAAAAAACACACCAGGGTCATGTTAGGTCATTTCTAGGCCATTTTAACTTTGTGGACTAGAAAACCCATTTTGCAAAAGTTAGGCCGCCACTTCGAGAAGGCCTAAAATGCCCTCATATTACCCTGGTGTGTTTTCTACGTCATTTTGAAGTGGTGGACTAACTTTCGCATGTTTGGTTTTCTAGGCCAACACTTCCAAATGACCTAGAAAACACACCAGGTACATGGCAGGCCGTTTTTAAGTGATGGCCTAGAAAACCAAATTTGCAAAAGTTAGGCCGCCACTTCAAGATGGCCTAAAAATGCCATAACATGACCCTGGTATGATTTCTAAGCCATTTTGAAGTGGCGGCCTAACTTTTGCGATTTTGGATTTCTAGGCCACCACTTCAAAATGATCTAGAAAACACACCAGGGTCATGTTAGGTCATTTCTAGGCCATTTTAACTTTGTGGACTAGAAAACCAAATTTGCAAAAGTTAGGCCACCACTTCAAGATGAATTTGTCTCGAAAAAGTTCTCCACGTCGTGCCGAAAAGACACACTGCTCATGATCAAAGATCTCTCTTTTTTCCAGATTCTCCTACTGGCTGAAATTCGTCGCCGACGTCATCTTCCTCTGCCTCCCATCCCTTCTAGCAATGACAATTCTCAGTGACCATCTCCTATTCCTAGCCACAATCATGTCCATCACCTCCATCGTCCTCCTCCTTTTCGTCATCTACGAAGGCGTCGATCATCATCTGACGGCTTCTTTGAAGCAGGCGTGGTCCAGAATCGTTGAAGAACAGCATAGGCCAACGAAATTCGTGACCTATTTCCGATCGCTGACGATGGTCCTGGTGACGGTGGCGATTCTGGCGGTGGATTTTCCGATATTTCCACGACGATTCGCGAAGACTGAGAAATTCGGACACTCGATGATGGATGTAGGCGTCGCTGCCTTCATTTTCCAGTCGGCATTGGGTAGTCGAATGGCAAAATCACCGAGTTCCGGGAGGCAATTATCCAATCATAGTAGGCCGTGGTACCTGACTTCTACGTCACTTTTGTTCGCGTTGGGATTCGTTAGAGCCGTTGTATTAGAGGTGATCGGGTATCCACAACATGTTACGGAGTATGGAGTTCATTGGAATTTCTTTTTTACGATGGCAGCTGTTAGGGTGAGTTTTGAAGGAGATATTTCGAAAATGTGAAATTTCAAGAATCCAAAAATCGCAAAATTTCAAGAATTCCAAAATTGAAAATTTGGTACTTCTAAAAATTTCGAATTCAGAACTGATCGTTTCGTAACTACGGCGTTATAGAACTGCGACGTTTTCGAACCTCGACATTTTAGGACCGCGACGCTTTAGAACCGCGACGTTTCAGAACTGCTTTAGAACTGACCATTTCAGAATTGCGAACTTTTAGAACCGACCATTTAAGAACTGCGACGTTTACCGCGACATTTTAGAGCCACGGCGTTTCAGAACTTCGACGGTTTCAAACTAACCATTTTAAAATCGCGACATTTTAGAACCGCGACATTTCAGAACCGCGACGTTTTAGAACCGCGACATTTTAGAACTGTGACATTTTGAAACAATGCCGTTTCAGAACCGCAACATTTTAGAACCGTGACGTTTTAGAACCGCGACATTTTGAAACAATACCGTTTTAGAAACGCGACATTTTAAAACCGCGACGTTTTCGAACCACGACATTTAATAACCGCGACGTTTTAGAACTGACCATTTCAGAACCGCGAAATTTTAAAACCGCGACGTTTAAGTACCGCGACAGTTTTGAAACGATGCCGTTTTAGAACCGCGACATTTTAGAACCGCGGCATTTCAGAACCGCGACATTTTAGAACAACGACATTTTAGAACCGCGACATTTTAGAACCGCGATATTTTAGAACTGTGCCATTTTAGAACCGCGACATTTAATAACCGCGACGTTTTAGAACTGACCATTTCAGAACCGCGAAATTTTAAAACCGCGGCGTTTTAGAACCGCGGCATTTCAGAACCGCGACATTTTAGAACAACGACATTTTAGAACCGCGACATTTTAGAACCGCGACATTTTAGAACCGCGACATTTTAGAACCGCGACATTTCAGAACCGCGACATTTTAGAACCGCGACATTTAATAACCGCGACGTCTTAGAACTGACCATTTCAGAACCGCGAAATTTTAAAACCGCGGCGTTTTAGAACCGCGACGTTTAAGTACCGCGACAGTTTGAAACGATGCCGTTTTAGAACCGCGACATTTTAGAACCGCGAAATTTTAGAACAACGACATTTTTGAACAACGACATTTTAGAACAACGACATTTTAGAACCGCGACATTTCAGAACCGCGACATTTTAGAACCGCGACATTTTAGAACTGTGACATTTTAGAACCGCGACATTTTAGAGCAATACCGTTTTAGAACTGTGACATTTTAGAACCGCGACAGTTTAGAACCGCGACGTTTTGAAACCGCGACATTTTAGAATTGTGACATTTTAGAACCGCGACATTTTAGAACCGCGACTTTTCAGAACTGTGACGTTTTAGAACTTCGAAATTTAGGAAATTTCAAATTTTCAAACACCTCAAAATTCGACAAATTTTACTTCTAAAATTCCAGGTGCTCTACTCCATCCTTCCTCGCTGCTTCCCTCTCGTTCTCTCGATAATTTTTGGAATTTGCCATCAGACAATGCTGAAATCGACGGGTCTTCAAGCATGGATTCTCGATGAAAACGCCAATAAACGGGATAATTTAATTCATGCGAATGCCGAGGGATTGACTTCTCTTCTCGGTTATCTAACGATTTTCTATGCGAGTTTAGCGATCGGAGGATTCATGGCACGGACGAGTATACGGGTGAAATCGTGGATTCGTCGATGTTTTCAACTACTTCTCTTATCGATTTTCTTGTTTTTGGCTCAATTGGCAACTGAGAAATGGGTGGATCCGCCGTGTCGAAGAGTGGTTAATGTCACTTATATTTTTTCGCAGGTTCGTGGGAGAATTTGAGTTGGTCCACAGGGATTTTTGGAACGGAATTCAGGATCTAAATGTTCTAAAATCCAGAAATTTTCGAAATTCAGAAATCAAGTTCGGAAATTCCAAAATTCGGAAATTCAGAAATTCCAAAATTCGGAAATTCAGAAATTCAGAAATTCGGAAATTTCAAAACTCAAAAATTCAATTTTTCTAAAATTTTCAAAATCAGAATTTTCCGAAAATTCGAGATTTCAAAATTTTTGAAAATTTGAAAATCTGACTTTCGACATTAAGAATCTTCCAGTATCTTCATTTTTCAGTTAACACTGATGACGTTCGCCACTGCCGTATGCTTATCAATTCAAATGTTCAATATTGTTGTCTGGTGTGCTAGTTTTCCACAATTCTCGAAAGGTGAGTTTTTTTTTGGATTTGAGAATATCTGAAAATCTGAAAAATCGCAGGATTCTAGATACCGGATATTCCAGATTCAGAATTTCAGAAAAGAAGACAAAATTCTAGTCCACTACCATAAATAATCAATCTCCTACGACCATCTTAAGCCGAGTTATTGTCGGAATAAAAAAAGTGGAACTCGGTGTTTGCGTACTTTGATTTCCGCTTCCCCCCGCCGACGCTCCGCCCACTGCTTTTGCAAGTGCGGCGTTGTGTTTTGCAATTGTGCGGCGCCACTTCGGGTTTATTGTAATTAATGAGGTTTTCATTAAAAAAAACAATTTATCTCACAATTTATAGAGAAAACATTGAAAAAAAGCAACAATGAGCTACAACCGGGGCATTTCAAAGGAAACAATCTTAAAAAGAGGTAGTTATATCTGGAAAAATGTGGGTAGAAAGGGGGAAAAAATGATTAGGAAGCTATGTTGAAAGGAATACAAGATTTTCTGAAGATGTTGCTCAACGACAGTTGTGGACTCGGAGTGTTGGAGCCCAAGTAACTCCAATTAGCCATGATAAGAAAGTACAAACATTTCCGACCACTCGTGACATCAGTCTTCAAGCTAAACCTTCGGACATTCCTGGCTTCTTTCATCTGAAAAACACAGCGACTGATCCTACCTCAACCAGCAATGCAAGCACCCAGAGTAGTACAATTATCCGTAACAAGACAACCTCTTCTCAGTGTGTTTTACCTCCAGCCAACAGATTCAAGTATCTGACTGAGGTATAAAGATCTTATCAACCTAGAATAGTAAGCAGTAGGGTGCATGTTTCAGACTGAATTGAGGCACATGAGAATCGGACAATCGTTATGTGACATAGACACTTCCATCTTTCCAAAAACCCCCACACAAAAACACACTAGGAACTCTGGAGAAGAAATCATGAGAAATGCGTCATCGTCTGTCGGCATAATTCAAGAAAAATTGGGCAGTGACTGTCGTTTTACAATGTTCTCCAACACTGCAAAGGCAACACCTGAAATGTGTGGTCTGAGCAGAAAAACAGTAATCCGCCTGACTCCTGAACGAGACCTACCGCAAAAGAAGCTTCTTGTTACAATGGGGAAAAAAGAACGGTGCAGGAGATATGCTTCTCAATTGGATTTCGTCAAAAGATTCGAATTGTAGCAAAAATCCACTCTCTTTAGAAAGAAGGTCGCAATGTTACAGTATCCGATCTATGGACATTTGCGAAGGATGAGCTCAAATTTCAGAGAGGGAGATCAGTGTTTTTGTATGTACTTCGTGGACTTGGATTTGTGTATCGCCAAAAGGAATTCAACCCAATCGTGTCAGAGCGACCTGATATTGTACACAAAAGAATGCTGTATCACCAGTTGAAGAAAGAGTGGGATTCCAAAAACGCTCTATATGGATCCTTCGATGAAACGTGGGCACACAACGGCATGGTGAGGCGTCTTGCCTGGATGCATGCAAATCAGGGGATGTACAAAAAGTCGAAGTTGATGGATCTTCTATCATCCCAGCCAGGTCCGAGTAAGGGTAGAGAGAGGAAAGAGGGTCATCATCGCTGCTGTCATCACACAGCTAGGAGTTCTCAAAGGATCCGAGCTTCTTCTTGTTTCCGGATTGAGAGAAGAAGATCAGAAGCAAGATTATCATGCCGATATGGATGGTAATAACTTTGATATCTACTACCGAAAGATGATCCCGCTTTTTGCGGCTGAAGCTGCAAAACTTGGAAGACCCGCAGTGTTGTTGTGTGATAATGCTCCGTATCACAATGCTCCACTCCGCAAGCCTCCGACGAGCACTTCTTCCCGAGCTGACATCACATCTTTTCTCACGGAGCATGGTGTAAAGTTCTTCCCAAAGCAGACGAAGGAGATCCTCTACGATTTGGCTCGAATCTTCATTGAATCCAACGGGGGTCGCGAGGCATTCACGGTCTACAAATTCGACGAGTATGCCAAGTCTCATGGGGTTACTGTTTTAAGACTCCCACAATATCACTGTTTTTTTAATCCAGTGGAATTACTGTGGGCGCAATTGAAACAGCACCTCAGAAAGATTGGCAAACCGGAAGATTCAGTAGAACTAGTAATTTTTAGATATTTTTTTCCAGAAATTGTTTTCCATTTAGGTGAGAAGCCGTGCCAAGGCGTTCCTCGAGCCTTTTCCAGCAACTTCGGCCGACAAACTGTTTCTTCACACTCAAAAATTGGAGACAGACCTTCGAGAGATGATGGAAGAAGAAGATATGATGGATTACGACGAGGTGTTCGACTTGAACTACGACGTCGATGAAGCTGGCAATCTCTACAACATCCGAATCGATAGTGATGACGAAGACGCGATGGTGGACGAGGAAATCGAAACCATTTGTCCAACAGATTGCTCCGTTAGCTCTGATGACGACTTCAACGTTTTCAGTGATACTGAAGACTATGACTTTCTAGAATAATGCAAATTAGTATTATTGTTAGCCTTTTCCGGTTTTTTTCTCATTTTTCCAGTGAATTTTATAATAATCGTTTACCTGTAATCAATTATTGAGTTTTGAGACAACAAGAAGTAAAAAAATCATTTTCTCTAAAAAATTGTGACATAAATTGCAATTTTTCTATGAAAATCTCGTTAAAACCTCATTAATTACAATAAACCCGAAGTGGCGCCGCACAATTGCAAAACACAACGCCGCACTTGCAAAAGCAGTGGGCGGAGCGTCGGCGGGGGGAAGCGGAAATCAAAGTACGCAAACACCGAGTCCCACTTTTTTTATTCTGACAATATGGTCATTTGAAGGTTTTGGAGGTGAGAGACGCAGAGAAACGAGATACACTGCGTCTCTGACCCAGAAATTTCAAATCGCCGTAACTTGGGTCAAAATCGGTTTTGAAGATTCATTTTCAGAGCGTTTTATACACAATTTTCCAGGTTTTCTTAATATTTTAGAATTCTGGAAAATTCGAAAAATCTGAAAAATCAAAATTTTCCAAATTTCTAAACCACTGAATCTCAAATTTTCATATTCTTTAAATTTACAAATTTTGGAATTTTCGTAAACTTGCAATCACAAAACTAGAACATTTAAATTCTGGGAACTCGAAAATTTTTGAATCTCATAACCCCATTCTCAGAACCTTGGATTGTTGAAATCCTAGATTTACGAAATTTCATAAAATTGTCGAAAACGAGATACACTGCGTCTCTAACCCGTAATTTCCAATCGCCGTAACTCATCTCAAAATTGGTTTAAAATATCCATTTCTGGCTGAATTCAAATATAGCCCCCATCCCAATTCAAGTATAGACCCCCACTTTTAAAGGGTCCATTCCAATTCAAAAAAAGCCCCCCACCCATTCAATTATAGACCCCCACACTTTTGCGTAGTTTGTGGTGTGTGAAGGGTACGGTAACCGTCATGATGCAAATTTTGAGCTTTTTTCAAAAATTTTTCTTTGATTTTTTCGGAATTTGTGTCATTTTTCACCATTTTTCCTTGTTTCTTGGGAACTTTCCCTGAAAAATACTTGTCAGTTATGTATATCTTATCAGAACTTCCAAAATTAAAACATTCTAAAATTCAGGCCTAGGCCAAAAAATGGTGGGGAGCTATTTTTGAATTGGTGGGGGTCATATTTGAATAAAGTGGGGGGGGCTCAGATAAGGTTCTCTTTTTTGGGGGGGGGGGGGCTATTTTTGAATTGGTGGGGGGCTTTAATTGAAGAAGGCAGGGAGGGGTGGGGCATATTTTAAGAATACCAGGTTCTTCAAGTATAGACCCCCACTTTGTACTGGTGGGGGGAGGGGTCATACTTTGATCAACCAATTCAACCTATAATAGAAGTGCCCTTCTCAGTGACCCGCGAAAAATAGAATTGCCCCCTCTAATTGAAGTGCCCCTCTAATTGAAGTGCCCCCCCCCCAAGAGACCTCACGAAAAATAGAAGGGCCGGCACTTCTAATACAGGTTTTACGGTATACCCCATTTCTCAAGTGTTTTGTACAGAATTTTCTGGATTTTCAGAAAAATTAAAAATCCCGAAAGATTACGAAATTTGAAAATTCCAAAACTGTATAAATTTAGGTTGAACACTTCGAATTTTAGAGCTATTTATGCAGAACCTTCTAGTCTAATCCCAAAAATTTTGTACCAATTCCAGGCGACGATCCGTTCTCTCCGGTGTCTCCATGCCTCTCCGACTCCATCAATCGTCATTCTCTACTCTTTTTTCTCATTTCCAACGTCTTGACCGGTCTAATCAATCTCTCGATTCCAACTGCTCACACACTTTCTGCTCAATTCTCATTTCCAATTCTTCTCGCCTATCTGACAGTCTGTTCTGGAATTGTACACTCTTTGGAGTATCGAAAAGTCAATTTCATCAGACTTCATGCTGATTAACATTTTTCTTTCTTTTTTTTCTCTAAAATTCTCCCCAAAAATTAAAATTTTATAATTTATTGTATCACCTAATACTCAATTTTCTTCCCCTTTTGGTAGTTCTACCTCTCCTTCTGTTTTTGCATATTTCTTGTGATCCCCCTAAAGATTTCTAAGTCGCACTTCCCAAATTTTTTTGTATTTTTTCTTCCAGATCCTCCAGATCTCTTTTCCTTACACAACTTTCAAAAAGTTTACTAGTGTAGAAAAATTTTTCCCCGTGGAAAAATTCCGAGAAATTTCTAATAAAATAAGTTTTTCTGCTGAAAAGACGTGCAAAGAAATGTGTTTTCTACCATTATTCAATTGTCAACAGATTTCCAATGTTCCTTGGTGTTCGGAATGCCTTCATCCGATCCTCGCATCGTCTCCTATCATCTTCAAAGAAGCCACGTGGCGCACCTCCACCGAAACCGGATGTTGATATCTATACGAATCCGACCGGGACATATTTGGACACCTTCATGAAATATGTGAGCGCGGCCGCCGTTTTTATACGACATGCGAACCTATTCACTACGGTGCGCGTTCTTGCGCAGGCGGTAGAGGCGCTGCGCCTTGTTTTGCAATCGGGGGTTCAACTCCTCCTGGCGCCAATTTCTTTTTTTCGCTTTTTTAAACCATTTTTCGGAGTTTTTTCAGCATGGAAACGATCGAAGTGTATTCAAAAAAGAGGATATCGTTCAATGGATCAATAGTTTCGATGAGTACACATTCAAACTGACATGTCTGAAAGGGACTGATAAGGCGATTGGAGTATCCCATTTTTGTACTTTTTACCCCATCGAAGGTTCTGGAAATCTGGAGCCAATTGTGTTCACGGGATTCGGATGGACCCATCCTGAGCATCGACAAATGCAATATTTGAAACTTCAACATGATATTTGTTATGAGGTTATTCCGAGTGAGAAGATCAATGTCATTTCTCATATCAGTGAGTTGACAGGGGATTACTGTAGCTACTTGATTTTGAAAAGAACATAAAATTCTAGTCTGGCACCTAAATGAACCAAACTCCTACGACCATTTTAAGCCAAGTTATAGTCATTTGAAGATATTGTGGTGAGAGACGCAGAGAAACGAGATACACTGCGTCTCTGACCCGAAACCACAAATCCCCGTAACTCGGCTCAAAATATCTCTTTTTGAGTGTTTTGTACAAATATTTCTAGATTTTCAGAAAAGTTCATTGTCCTATTAAATCATATTATAAATCACAGATGAACCTGCCCGAAAATTCTGGCACCTGATGATTGGGCTCAAGGAGAATGAAGGTATCGGTCATAAAACCGCTGATGTTCAATACAAAAGTGTCTACGATTCCAAGAATCTCGTGGTCCCATCGGATTTGGATACGAAAGGGATTACGGTAAAAAGTGCCAAGGATGTTCCAGCCAAGGAAATCATTGAATACGATCAAACGATTCATCCATATCACCGTGAGAAGTACATCATCTCGCATATGTACGATCGTGACGGATTCGGGAAAGTGGCGTATGATGAGGATGGAAAAGTGATTGGAATTGGTCAAGCGATCATTTATAACAACAAGAAGGACTGTAATCTGGGACCGATCTATGCTGACGAGCCACGTGTCGCCCAGGCAATGTTCAAGGAGATGTTACAGGATATTAAGGATTCTGGAAAGTTCGTTTCCCAATTTGAGATAAGATCCACACAGAAAAGTGTCAACAGTTTTCAGTAAGTTTATTATTATTTATGATTAAAACATCCCAAAATATCAAGAAGATCAAAAAATCGAAATTTCCGATTTTTCATTAAATCGTCGTAGAAGACAAAATTATAGTCTAGAACCAAAAAGAACCAATATCCTACGATAGGCTTTCCATGACGGGCGGGTAGCGAACGGGTAGCTGCTACCCGCCCGTACCCGTACCCGCCAGCTACCCGCCCGCTTGCTATTATTCTTGTGCAAATAAATTGGAGTTGTGGCCGAATTTTCACACAAGTTAGGCCACAGTATTTCAAGGAGAATTTTCGAAAACACAGCGGGCAAACGAGTGCTACCGTAACCCAATAATAATATTTTCGCA